AGCCGTGGGAGCGCGTGGTCACCGCCGTGGTCACCGAGCCGTGGGGGCGCCAACGGCCGAACAGCCAGCTCACAATGACGTGGGCGTGGAGACAGAAGCCGCAGCCGCTCAAATCCTTACCTTCTGACCCCGATGAGAGGGGAGACCGGGAGACACTGTGTTGTACTAAGCAGGGCAGGGGCCTCCACGTTAGAGGCACCTTTTTTTCAAGTGTCAGCTCTGTGTGGAGGAGGGTGCGCCAATCAACGTCTCTGAGGCTCCGTTTCGCCCCTTGTGAAATGAAGCCATCCATACCTACTTCTCGGGTTTCTTGAGCAGTTTCAATATTTTAACACATAAAGTTTTCTTGCATTAAGTGGTTGCTCCTTAAACATGGATTGAACAAATGGAATGCATCTTTAAGTCTGTGGGAGATGATATAGAAATGCCATCTATATATGGAAATAAGTATCTTGTTGCTCCTCCAAACTAAGGAAAATAAACACAAAAATATGAGCAGTTAAAAAATGTTCTGACAAAAAAAAAATCTTTAAAAATCTCATGTGGTTATTGATTGAGTGCTTACTATGTATCTGTCATTGGGGTGATGAATTTAATTTTACCTGGGTACCTCTCAAAACCAGTGTGTGAGTAAATAACTTATTTTACAGATTTCAAATTAAGACTTAGAAAAGCAACAGGGCCAGTAAGTATCAGATCTGTCTGTGTATGCCTTACTGTCCAGAATCCTGACTATCACATAGCAAGAGGTTTTTGAACATACAAGGATTTTCACAAACACACTGGCATAAGCTGCACCAAGGTTGCAACTCTGAATTATTAAATGTTTGCATTCAGTATGCTTGGCTGACTTGTTGTACTCACAGCAAGTAAGTGTTTAATAAATAAAGGAAGTAAAGTTTTGTATAAAAATAAATGTCCAATTCAAAGTAGTCTGCCATAGACATAGGAAGGTCACTTGTGTAACTCAAATTGTGTGTTTTCCAAACTCTCTACAATTTCGCATTTGTAAAATAGGGGCGTTCTCATCTTCTGAAAGTGGATCTGATTTCTAAGGATGACCAAAATTCATTCTAGACCAAAGCTGGAAACAAAAGAGCGTCATCAGGTTGAGTACAGCTATGGTATGACTATGAAGTCATACAACAGATTCTCCCTCCAAGTAAAATTCAGATAAAGGATTCATAGCAAATGCTCCTTTGCTCGTGTGCATATGGCCTCTCACTGTACTCCACTGTGTGATAGATTTGATTGATGCAAAAAACACATCGCAGAAAGAGGGCAATTTACCTCCATTTCTGTTTTCACTCCATTTGGAGGAAATGCATTATTTGCACATGTAGAACCATGAGCAGACTCTACCTCGAGATACCACCTTCATCTGTCACTGTGAGTTATAACACTTTGCATTTGCAGAGTGATTTATGGTTTTAACATGCTCTGCTGTTAGCTAACTTCACAGTACCTCGAAGGTAGCTGTTATTTCACTTCCCTGTTTTCTCTTAAGCCTTTCAAGGACGGTCCACTCACATATGTTTTTTTGCCATACCGTAGTAACCTTAGAAAATCAGTAATTTTCTTTTTGGGTTTTTGCATTTTTTTTTGCAAACTGTACTCATATTTATGTTGTTTTCAACTTTGTTTTATGTTTTAAATATTACAACATCATGCATGTTCAGAAAAGCCATTTTCTCTACATGGAAGTCAATGCACATCACATACTACCACACCAATAGCAATGAGGGGGGAATAGGTGGATTACCTACCCTTCTTTTTCTCATTGCTTTTGGTGGAATATATGTACGCCTATGTTCATTGCAGCATTATTTACAATAACCAATATTTGGAAGCAGCCCAAGTGTCAATCAGTAGATGAATGGATAAAAAAAACTGTGGTACATTTACCCAATGTAATACTCCTCTGCTGTGAAGACAAAGTGTTACCCTTTGCAAGAGCAAGGATGGACCTGGAGAACATTATGCTAAGTGAAAAAAGCCAGTCAGAGAAAGACAAGTACCATATGGTTTCACTCATATGTGGAATTTAATGAACAAATTGAACTATTAAACAAAATAGAGACAGACTCATAGAAAACAGACAGCTCTGGTGGTGGTGGGGATTGAGCAAAAAAGAAAAAAAAAGAGAACTCATGGACATAGGCAACAGTGTGGTAATCAAGGTGTGGGGAGGCGGAAGATGGCAGAGAGGGGATAAATGGTGATGGAAAAAGTCAAGTAAAATAAAAATTTTAAAAAGGCAGACTAATATAGTTACAGAATTCAAAAATAAAAATTATTCACATCTCAGTAAACATTATAGGCAAAGTTTAAAGACAGAAGATAACTGGCAAAATAATTTGGAAACTTTATATAACATTGTAGGTTGCAATATTTGCACTTATCCAGGATTTATAGTTTTCACACAGCATAGTTACACAATTGTCACTGAAACTCATATGTGTAATCTCAAAAAAATTTACAAAGTCAAACTCATAGAAATAGAGAGGAGAAAAGTGGTTACCAGAAACGGGAGGTGGGAGAAAAAGGGAGAGGTTGGTAAAAAGTATAAACTTTTGCTTATACAATTAAGAATAAGGTCTGAGGATCTAACATGTAACATGGTGCCAATACTTCATAACACCACACTACTTAATTAAAATTGGTTACAAGAGCAGAATGTAAGTGTTATCACCAAAAACATAAAGGTCAATGTGTGAGGTGAAGGATGTGTTAATTAACTGAATGGGGTGATCCAATCACAATGTTCATGTAGATCAAATCATCACATCATACATGTGAAATTCCTTACACTTGTACTTGTCAATTATACCTCAATAAAACTGAAAAAACAGATTCAAGTATCAGAAAAAATGATGATGGAAGGAATTAAAAAACACCAAAAATAATATAAGACATGAGTTATTATTACTAGTAACAATAGTAAATAAACTTGGTTGCCAGGATCCCAACTCATGGCTGATGATAGATAAGGGCATCCAATTGCAATTTCCTTTAGCTCTATTTGTGTGGCTAAGTGACAAACTTTATTCATATTATATTCCTTTTCAGGAGGAAAAAGCTGGGGATCCAGGGTAAAATCCCATGATTACTTTCTCTTGTGTCATTGGAAATATAAAGCAGAAAGCTTTATATTATATCTCTTGCTAAAGGCGTATAAACCAAAAACAGAATCAAGTTGATTCCTAAACAGAGGGGTTTAAACAGCAATGTACCAATTTTATTCAGTCTCAGGGCCATTTGCAATTGTGCTTTAAGAAGTGCATAAAGACAATACCAACCATGTTTAAGAGCAAGAGATAATCTACTAGCTTTGTGCTTTACCAGGAAGGAAAAATAATTCCTTAGTGGTGTCAAATGTTTCATGTCCTATTCAGAGATTACCCCCAAGTCCCCTGTAACAAAAGCCTAGCCTGAAATTCATGTGCTGAAATGCCAACCCCCAGCACCTCAGAATGTGAGTGTTTGGAGATAGGGTCTCTGGTGAGGTAATTAAGTTAGGTTGAGGTCAGTAGAGTGAGCTCTAATCCAATATGACTGGTGTCTTTATAAGCATAGAAGATCTGAACAAAACTACTGACAGAAAGATGAGGCGACAACAGAGCAAACATGGCCTTCTACAAGATGAGAGGCCTGAATAGAACTCGCCCTCCTGACCCTTGGAAAGAACCAACCCTGTAGACATCTTGATCTCAGACTTCTAGCCTCCAAAACTGGGAGAAAATAAATTTCTGTTGTTTAAGCCACCAGTCAGTGTTGCTTTCTTATGGCAGCCTTTCCAGACTAATACAGGGACTGAGTTTAGTCCAAATGGCAATTTCTTAACAGCCATGATGAATGTCTGGAACCTGAGCTGGGACAGTATCCCCATGAAAGACAAACATACATATTCATGTAGGGGTAATAAGGTATGGGAAAAGCATGCAATTATAAAAGGTAGATATAGATGTGGAAGCACAAAGAAAAATAATTTAATAACAAAACCAAGTGATGGATTTTTTTCTGTTCATGTAGATGTATTTTTCCTGGAAACTTCAAAAGACTTTTGCTATCTTCATATTAAAAAAAGTGACTGCATGCATCAAAAGGAAGATGCTGGTTCTAATCAGAATGCTCAACACATGGTAACTAAAGTTAAATGACTATATATATACATAATTGCCCTTAAATGAAGGATTCATTTCAGAAGTTTTGAGACTGGAGTGAGTCATCTGGAATTAAATAATGGAATGGACTAGAATCGTGTGCCTTTCTCCAGCAGAACATGTATTAGGAAAAAGCAATTGTTTGATGATGTGTGGGGCATAAGCAGATCTATTTGTATTCTGCCCGTTGAAAATAGTCCTTGTATATGCACATTTTTATGTCATATAGCTCAAGGGCTGGTGATTACCTCTTTAAAGGAACTGCTAACCATTTCAGGAAATTGTTGAATATCTGAAAATGATTTCAGAGTGTGAAAACATTTTATACACTTCGCAAATAAAATGCAGTCAGCTGGAAGGGACTACCTTATATTGCTGGCTCTATTTTGCATGTTTTTAATACTTTTAAGAGTTAGATGGTTTAATCTTTGGGTTCTTTGATAAGATACAGGTGTTACATTAATACACTTCAGTAAGTGTCCTCCATTCACTTAATGTGAGTCTTCAAGTTTGCCTCCTGACATGGCATTTTCTGCTGATGGCAAAATAGTAAGAAGATTCATGGGTCTTTTTCTTTAGATCTTTTTTTTTCTGCTTCCAGTCAAACCTACAGTTAATAAACAGAAAAAGTTCACTCGGAATTGATCCAAAAAGAAAAAGGAAACAGTAAAATTGCAGGCTATAATCTCTAACAAATTTGGGCTTGAAACCAGGTTTAGAG